ACATACGCTCACCAGAAAGACAGAGAGAGACAGAGAGACAGAAAGCGAGAAATCACCCCCCATGGGGGATGGCCACGCTGCAATCCCTTCTCCTCCATTCTCCTCTCGGGATCTTGGGCATGCACGCACACGTCCCGGCGTGAGTTTTAAGCCACCGGGTCCGGGACACAAACCACAGTCGACTATGTGGGAGTCCAGTGACATAGCCATTACGCTAACTGCTGGTCCCATGACACATTTTTCATAGAAAAAGTACATCATCACTTTTCCAACAACCTCATACAGGGGTATAGACTCCATCAGGAAGTCCCAAAGGCTGCGAGGGACGGGCAGCTTATGCCTATGGAAGTCTGCTGCAGGCCCATGGGCGCTCACCTTTCATCTGCATCCCCTCATTTAATCCTCACGGCCCCTTGGGAGGAGGAGGGCCTTGTAACCACAATGGACACTGAGGCTTAGAGAGGTCAAGTGACTGCCAGCCACAGAGCCAGTGGGCGGTGAGGCAGAGATTTAAACCCTGGAGGCAGAAGGAGGAGACTAGTTCAAGAATGGGCAGCTGGCTTCAGGCAGGTAAAGGGGGATTAGATCTGTCCCTTGCTGGCTGCTGTTGCCAGGTAGACTAGTGGGCACTAAGTTAAATTTGAATTTCAGAAAACTACATACAGCTTTTTTTTTAGTATGAGCAAGTCCCATGCAGTATCAAGGTCATACTTGTACTAAAAGGATTATATGGGGAACCAGCAGTTAGCGTAATGGCTATGTCGCTAGATTCCCACGTAGTCGACCGTGGTTCGCATCCCGGACCCGGTGGCTTAAAACTCACACCGGGCGTGTGTGTGTGCGTGCCCAAGATCCTGAGAGGAGAATGGAGGAGAAGGGATTGTGGCGTGACCTGGAGGGGGATTTCTCGCTTTCTGTCTCTCTGTCTCTCTCTGTCTGTCCGGCGAGCACACGCGCCCTATAGCGGAAAAAAACCTCTCAAAAAAAAGAAAAAGCAAACTAAAAAACAAACAAAAACAAAAAACAAAAAAAAACCTAAAAGTATTATATGTCATCCATCTGAAATGTAAACCTACCTGACACCCTGTATTATTGTTTGTTTAGTCTGGCAGCCCCATATGGTGACCCAAGAAGTGCACTGAGCTCTAGCGGGAGCTTCTGCACCACCTTGTAATGGCACGGGCGGCCCGACAGGTGGTGAGTTCCCCTTCTCAGGCTATATTCAGGAGCAGGCCGGGTAACCACTTCAGGTATTGTGGAAGGGATCTGGACTTCAGATGTCTGGTTCCGTGAGAGTCTAAGACATACACGTTGCTGAGATGATGAGGGGAGTCATTCACCTGTGTCCTCGCTGAGCTCTGACTGTGTGGGGTTCAAAGCGCTCTGAGATCCCTGACCACCAGTACCATATGAAGAGGACCAGTTCTCCCTGCTTCTTAGGAGTGATGGATGGAGCCAGCCCATGGCATGGTGGGTAAGGAGCTAGATCCCACAGAGTCAACTGCACAGCTCAAGTTAGAGACCCCGAGACTTGAAGGACGTGCCAGGTGCACGTATACATATGCCCGAAATCCCGAGAGGAGGGAGAAATGAGAAGGCATGGCAGTGTGCCCACGCCCCATTGAGGGTGCTTTCTCACTTTCTTCCTCTCTCTCTTCTTCTTTTTCTCCCTCTGCCTCTCTCTGGCAAGCGCTTACACTCTCTGGCAATAGTAAGAAGTGATAGATGGCCACACTCAGATGGCAGAAACCAGCCCAGCCCAGTGTGGTGTTAAATAGTCTGGTAATCTTGAGGAAGCATTGTGTTAAAGGTGAGATGCGGGGCCAGACCCTTAGCTCAGTGATTAAGCATGTGCAAAGGAAGCCAGATCTTTCATGGCCCACTTTTGTTTGAATCCAGGATCCCACAGCTTGAAAAACACTCTGAGTACATGTGCATCCAAATCTTGATGGAAATGAGGGGAAAAGGATTGTGGCATGGACCATCCCCCATTGAGGGGGTCTCTTCTCTCTCTGGCAAGTGTGCCTGTCTAACAATTAAAAAATAATAATGAGGTTTTTTTTGTTGTTGTTATTGTTTTGTTTGTTTGTTTGTTTTTTAGAATTTGTCATAGGGCAGGTGCACTCGCTGGAAAAACAGAGAGAGGGAAAGTGAGAATGGTCACACTACGATCCTATTTCCTCCATTCTCCTCTCAGGATTTTGGGCATGAGGCACATGCACCGGATGTGATTTTTTTAAGCCACTGTGCCTGGGACTTGAGCCGTAGTCAGCCATGTGGAGGTCCAGTGCCTTAGCCACCATTCACCTGAGGGCCCCAATAAAAAGCTTAAGAAAGATGAAATGAAGCATCCTTTTTGTCTCTCTAGTGGAAAATCGACTGTGAGTTCCTAGTTCATTGTGTGTCCCCTACAGCAGGCTGTGAGCTCTGTGACGGGCTGAAGACGGCTGTGCCCCGCGTCGCTCCAGGCCGTGACGAGAGCATGAGAAACGCTCAGCCCCAGGGTTCCGCACAGGCCCTCGCAGGCAAGTGAATGAGGTGAAGGCCGGCGTGCATTCCTTCAGAGGTTCTCTTGGTCGGTTACATGACAGCCCATCAGGATTGTAAACGGCCTGCTCATAATGACCTCACTGTGGCTTTTGCACACTCCACGCCATCTCCGGCCAAGGTCTGGTTCTTCGCAGACCTCTTGCTCCCCTAGCTAACCCAAGCCTGGCCAGATAGGAGTCAGGCAGCAAATCTATAGAAGTAAAATCTCATCCTGTCTTCCAAAACCAAATAGAGATGGCATCCTTTCATTTAGGGTGCTTCACGCTTGTTTTGATGATTAAGTTGATCATTTATTGTTACAATTAAACATGAGGTGTTAAACAAGTCAAAATGCGAGACCTGTAGATGGCGTAATGGTTACATCACTGAACTCCCATAGAGTAGACTGCAGTTCAGATCCCACGTCGGGCGCATGTTCATGTGTACCCAAGATCCTGAGAGGAGAATGGAAGAGAAGGGATTGTGGCATGGCCATCCCCCCTGGGAGACGATTTCTTGCTTTCTGTCTCTCTGTCTCTGTCTGGCAAGCCCACGCACCTATAGCAAAAAAATATCTCTTAAAAACAAGTCAAAATGCCCATCATAGCAACGGAAAATTTTTTTAATTATTTGTATTGAAGCTATGAACTGTAATCACTTGTTCGTTCAATTACTTTTTGTGAATGGATGTGTTTGTAAGTTGCAGGGGCGTCTCCCTTCTGTTTTCCAGGAAGGATCGTTGAATGGCTGCCATTTGACAACATGCACCACCAGTGGCTCCTGTTGGCTGCGTGCTTCTGGGTGATTTTCATGTTCATGGTGGCCAGCAAGTTCATCACCTTGACCTTTAAAGACCCGGATGGTAGGTATGCTGCGTGGCAGGATGAAGTTTGGCTAATTGAAACTTGGCTGAAATACTGTTCCTAGGTACCTACTCAGGTAACCACAGCGACTGGATCAAAGGATACGCGTGGCGTTTGGATCCTTTTTACAGATGGGGCAGCAGTGGAGCGGGACAGAAGGTTCTTCCTGAGCATCTCCCCTAGGAGGCGGAAGGTGTTGTCTCTGGCCAATGCCAGCATGGTGCTGAAAAGCAGGTCGCGGGGCTTCCTCCCAGCAGTACCATGCACCGTGCATCAGCGTGTCTTGGAGGCTCGAAGCTTAGGAATTCTCTGCCTCCTCTCATCATGAGAGACACAGTCACTATTGCTTAGCATGCCTGCATGCCAGCTGGTGTCTGCACTGGTGGCCAGGTGTTTGAAGGTCACCTTCAGGGCAGTGGAGGAGAGCCATTCAAATATGTGGTGTCAGGTCATCATGGAGGATTTTTCATGTCTCCTTCCCTGAACAGAAGCATTCAGATGGGGGCGTGAAAGCATCCAGTTCAGTCCCAGAGGAGCTGATTCTGGTTTGTGCACCAGACAGCACAGTTGCTTACACAGTTGAGCCTTAATGTGTTTCCTGCAAAATGGACTCACTTCCTGCATCCGAAGAGGGGCTCTGGTCTCTGAGGTGCTGAGTGTGTGCACGGGGCTGTGGTGGCCGGTGCTCTTTAACCCCAAGGCAAGGCACTAGGAGATGTTGAAATGGTGCATTTGTAGCGACTCTTGGCCTGGCTTGGCCTGGGAACATGGTGCGTCCAGCCTCCAGGCTTCTGTCCCCTCAGAGAGCTCCCAGGCACACACCCCCCAATCCTCTCTACCCATCCCACTTGTACAGGAATGACAAGATTAGAAGGCAGATCTGCAGGGGGACAAGGGAAGCCCTTCCATTAGCCCTGCGTGGAGGTCCTCAGCTCTGAAGTCTGCACTCAGTAATGGTTTTCAGGCAGGTAGTGCTGGGCCCTGGCTGGCGTCATCACAGACCCCACCCTGTCTGCCAGGAGCTCTCGTGAGGAAACTAGGTCTGCACAGCAGCAGGCAGGTGGCGTTGTACCTGCAGGTGTTGGGGTGACCGGGGCATCAGGAGCGTCACAGCTCGCCTCACACTGGGTCCACAGGCTCCAGCAGAGGGGTGAGGTTGGGTCTCGGTGGCTGGGATGTGCGATGGCGGTCTCTGTCAGACGGTGTGGACATTTATGCAGCAGCTTCAGCACAGTCCAGGGCCGCCAAGAACAGCGAGCCCATGCGAGCCCTCGCTAGGACCCAGAGGGTGCTTCTCACCCCACAGGCACTTTGGCATCCTCAGGGGTCTTTGTGAACCTCGCTGCCTGGAGCCCAGGGGACTCGCATCTCTGGGAGTGGGACCCAGTGGAGAACCACAGATGTGGAACATGGCTGGGAAATGAAAACAAAGAGCTGCCCAGAGTAAGAAGCAGATGCTGCTCGAGATCCCTCCCTGTAAAGAAGACACTCAGATGGCAGGGCGTGAGGTTAAATTGCTTATGGTTTATTTTGTTTAACCAAGTAAGAGCCTGGAGCTGGGCAGTGGCTTGGCAGGGAAACGAGACACTCTGCACAGTTGACAGGTCACATCAGTATGTGCGTGCCCACCATCTGTGAGTAAGCCTGGTGTGGATCCTGGCATCAGAATTTTGTTGGGGGTGCAGTCTCTGTCTCTCTTGCTCATGGACAAAAGGAAGGAAAGAAGAAAGGAGAGAGGGAAGGAGGAGAAGAGAGAAAGATATACGTAGTAGTACGTGTAATATATTTCTGAGGCTTTCATCAATAATAGTGAGATAAAATATGTGCCCTTGCATATTTTTTTATTTCTTTATCTTATGTTTCTACATTTAATGACTGTGTATCTTTATAGCATACAAAATGAATTTTCCCAGCATGAATGCACTGCATCTTCGTCTAATCAAAGCTTTGACCGTCCTGGCAGAATAGCCTCTAGGGAACGCCCCATGCCCCAGTGGTGTCTGATAAGGGAGGGAGTCAGGATGTGGAAAGTTTTATGCCAGGTAGTTTCAGAAAAGTGGAGACACTTGAGAAAGTTTCAGGGAAGGGAACAAAAAATTAACAGGTCTAAAAGGTGAAACCTGTGAAGACAAAAAACCTTAGGATTTCGGCCTGGAGAGGAGGGCTTCGTTCGTCCCTATCCTTGGTCCTGCTCGCCGCCTCCTCCAGCCACCTGCTGCAGGGTGACTGGTAGGAGACAGCCTGCCTCAGAGGTTCAGTGTGGCTATGTGGTTGCTGTGGTTGGTGAAACGGGAGTCGTGCTGGTATAGGTCACCTCTGGTGGCTTCAGAGCCAGTGCACAGACAGTGGTAAACCCTTAGCCCCAAAAGGAGGTGAGGAAGCTGCTGGCTGTTGAGACTGGCCCATCTTGGACAGGCTGTCATGTCATTGTCCCAAAGCACCTGGTTTGGGTCACGATAGATGTCGTTGGCCGAGTTCTGAGTGAAGGCAGTGAGCGTACAGGGTGCCTTGCCAGTCTGGGTGGTTAACAGGTCAACCATCCAAGAGAAGTTAAACCCTCAGCACCCGTCCCAGAGACTGTCAGAGGGCATGGGTGTCACCCACCTCGAGCCCTGCCCCAGTGCTGAGGTAGAGTGAGCCCAGCCCCAGGGCCTCATTGGCTCCTCTCTCCATGAAGGCAGCTAAACCGCTGGTGCACCAGGAAACCAAGAGACGTCCATAGTGTGGGGCTGTGGCGGCTTCTCATTGGTGTCCCTTCCACACGTGGCCACAGTATTTGTGTACCGAAAGCTTCTAACAGTGGAATCCCCTGATGAAGTCCCAGTTCCTGTAAACTGGGAGGAGAATCCTTGGCCTCTGTGTTCAGGGGACAAGGACAACGTGGGTATCTTCAGACTGCTCTTCCCGGCTCTGTCCTCTGGGCTGGCGGACCTGTGGGTTTTCTTCTCACCACCGTCCTCCATCAGTTCCCCACCACAAGAGCAGACAGGAAGAGCTCCTCTGTCTTAAACGGCTGCTATGAGCAGCAATCACGTCTTACAGTGCTGTGGCCTCCCGCTCAGCGGTGCAGCCACGGTGCTTCCCGCGGCAACGGCTTATCTTCACTTGACAGTTAAGCAGTCCATGTCGCGTGCACTGATACATCTTTTAGCTAGATGTTACTGTAGAAAGATCTGTCTCAGTCAGCAAAGGGAATTTGATGATATGGTATGTTTAGACTCAGAATCAAAAATGACGTCTTTGTGGGGCCCAGTGGTGACATGGGTGATGCAGCTGGACCCATGTTGGGAAGGTCCAGATTCGTGTTCCAGGGTCACCCCCTCTGAGCCAAATTTGTGCATGTGTGCCTGTGATCCAGGCCAGCTGAGACCGGAAATGGATTGTGGCATGAAGCCCCTGTTGGGGATGGCAAAAAAGGAAGGAAGGAAAAGAGGAAGGAAGGGAGGAAAGAAAAGAAAAAAAAGAAGGAAGGAAAAAAGGAAGAAAGAAGGAAGAAAATGCTCGAGGCATCTTTGTAGCTTTGAAGGTGCCTTCTCATCAAAAATGTCTCAGGTATTGAGACCAGCAGTTAGCGTAATGGCTATGTCGCTGGACTCCCATGTAGTCGACCGCAGTTCACGTCCCAGACCCGGTGGCTTAAAACTCACGCTGGGCGCCTGTGCGTGCATGCCCAAGATCCTGAGAGGAGAATGGAGGAGAAGGGATTGTGGCGTGGCCATCCCCCCTGGGGGATGATTTCTTGCTTTCTGTCTCTCTGTCTCTCTCTGTCTGTCTGGTGAGCGCACACGCCCTTCAGCAAAAACCTCTTAAAAAAATAAAAAGTCTCAGGTATTCTGGGTTGGGGCTAACATGTCCTTTCATTCCTTTTCGAGATCATCGTGGAATCACATGTAGTCATAAGAAATAGCACAGAGATCCTTTTGCCCTTTGCTGGTTTCCCCCGATGGTAACGTTGAGCTAAGACCCAGTGCCCTGTCTCAGTCAGCTTATGGCCATGGGCACAATCAAGGTGTAAATGGTGCTCTCAGCCCCGCAGGGACCCCTCCTGTGTCCTTTAGAGCCACACCCATCCCTCGCCCTGTGCCACGCCTGGCCCCCAGCCAGGGGAACTCATCTGTTCTCCTTTCCATAATTTCAAAATGTGTTCTGTGCGCAGGACAAGAGGTCTTCAATAAGTTATGGAAAATATATATTATGCATGGGTTTCAAAAATTTTTTGTGATGCAATAAACTTACACTTTAATTCCATTGTTCCTTTTTTTGCCTGAACTCTTTAAAATATCTTCATATGGGAACCAGCAGTTAGCGTAATGGCTATGTCGCTGGACTCCCACGTAGTTGACCGCGGTTCGCGTCCCGGACCCGGTGGCTTAAAACTCACGCCGGGCGTGTGTGTGTGCATGCCCAAGATCCCGAGAGGAGAATGGAGGAGAAGGGATTGCGGCATGACCATCCCCCCGGGGGGTGATTTCTCACTTTCTGTCTCTATGTCTCTCTCTGTCTCTCTGGCGAGCACACGCGCCCTATAGTGAAAAATCTCTCCAAAATATCTTCATGTGTGACTTTACAGAATTAAGTTTTTTTCACACAGCTTCATTACCTGGAGATTATTCCTTTATATTACTGTGTACATTTCCCAAAAAAAGACTGTTCTGCCATTTATTAATCATTCATATGTTGAAGGACATCTGGACTCTTGCCAATTTGTGTCTGTTAAAAACGCCACTACTGCAAACATTTGCTTACAGGCTTCCGTGTGGTTTCCCTGGATTAAAGCCAGGGAGTGCCTCTGCTGGGTCATGTGGTCGTCATGTGCTTTTGCTGCCAGTTTCCAGAGTTGTACCATTTTACTCTGTACCAGCAGTTTGTGAGTGGTCAAGATTCTCCACATCCTCACCAGCATTTGATGTTTTCACTTTTTTGTTTGTTTGTTTTAAATCATAGCCAGTCTGATAGGTGTGTGACAGCTCATTTTGGTTTTCATTTGCACCTGCCTCCAGGCTGGTGATGTTGATTATTTTTCCACCTGTTGATTGGCGAGTCATGCACAGTGGTGGGCCTGTGTATGTCTTGCTCATTCTCTAATGGGATCATTTGGCTTTTCGAGTTTTGAGAGTTCTTTACGTAGTCTAGATATGAGTCCTTTGTCAAATAGGTAGTTTTAAAATATTTTCTCCCAAATGTCTCCTCCTGTTTAAATGGACTTCCACAGAGCAAAACTTATTAATTTTAACGAAGTTCCGTTTATCAATTTTTCTAAAGGTGATATCCTGGGTTTTTTTTCCCAAGTTTTATAGTATTATGTTTTATATTTATGTCTATGAGCCATCCAAGTTCATTTTGTAAAAGAATTATTTATTTAATTTTATTTATTGTTATTGTATGTCTTCAGTTGGGCCAGAGAGAGAGAGTGAAAGCCCCCAGGTCTGAGACTGAGACCACAGTTGACCGTGTGAGAGTCCAGCGCCCTGCCCCAACTACCATACCACCTGCTGACCACCAAGTTTGTTTTAGAATAAGGCATGAAGTTTAGATGAATCTTCATTTCTTTGTCTGTAAACACCCAGTTGCTCTAGCATGGTTGGTTGAATAAGAGTGGCCTCCATTGAATCACTGTAGTACCTTTGTCAGAAATCAGTCCGGCATCCTTTTCTGGACCTATTTCTGGTCTCTGTTTTGTCCCAGTCATCCACAGGTGCCTGTTCCTCCCCCAGAGACATTATAACCTCTGTGTCTTCCAGTGTATAACGCCAAACAGGAGTTTCTGTTCCTGACGACTGTGCCGGAGATGGGGAAGCTGCCAGAAGAGAAGCACTTTCCTGAGGAGCCAAAGGTGGGCATGAGCCAGGTGGAGCCCTAGCCCCTTCCCTCAGAAGCTCAGGCTTCCCCATGTGTGCTCTCCCCTCTGGCTGGTTGCCACTTGCCATCACATCGTCCTCTGTAGCAGTTGCTTTGTCACTTCTGCCCGTCTCAGCTCACCCGGAGCTCCCGTTCAGGGAGGCACGAGGTCCTGGCAGCGTCGCGTGCATCGTGAGCGAGGACATGGCCGATGTTGGTCCTGCCGAGTTCCTTGCTGGCTGAATGGGAGCCCCACCAGGGGGGTGGGATGTGCTGGGGAGTGGGAAATGGTGTCCAAGCCAGACTCATGCGGTGTCAGAACAAGAAGGAGCTCGGGCAGCAGAGCAGCCAATCCCACCTCCCAACTGTGTGGACACAAGAACCGAGTCAGGAAAAGGCAAATCCTCCAAACCACGTGGTTACCGCAGAGTGCAGAGCCCGAGGCTGCTGACGCGCACCCAGCTCTCCCTTCCCCGCCATTCTGGTGGTGTACCTTTCTGCTCAGGCTCCTCTGGCACGTGCATCCCTGACCATCCCCTAGCCAGCATGAGGAATTCGCTCTAAAAGTTTCCCTCTCCAGTGCTAAACTTGCCCAATCTGGGACTTAGAGGTCTCACTTGTGCCAGAAAAAAAAAAAACAGAACAGGTGCAGCAGGCTCTGAGGATACCTGTCAGCCCAAAAGTGAGCGTAGAGAAGGAGAAGGTTTCTGTCCATGGTTCACATAGGAACGACAGATGAGAGCCCAGTCAAAACAGAAATGTACACCCCGTCAGAGTAGAGTGCTGTTGGGAGTTTGCAGGACACTTCAAGCTTCATCCTCCCCAGGGAGGACAGCTTGTTACAACCAGCCCATAAGTGGATTGCCCTGCCAAGCTTACTGCATTTTCAAAGATAAAGCGAGGGCATTTTGGTCCCCCCAGTAATTTGGGGGACCATCTGCTTGGAAATTGGAAGTTCTGTGTAGCTTTAAGGGAAGAAATAGATGCAGTAGCAGAAGTGTTCAAAATGCTGAGAATTGGGGCCCCTGTAGAGGTGGCTGAAGAATAGTCTGGGGAAATGGCCTCGCTATTCAGAGGTGCCCTCGGGATACTTTGTGGAGAGCCAGGTGGGTCTATCTGGGGGCACAGTTCCTGTGACGTGAGCAATGAGAGTTCCAACTCACCGAGGAACAGCTGCTGTTTGCTGATGTGCCCTGCTTCTCTTCCCCCCACTACACGTGTGTTCGAGTATGCACACACACACACACACACACACACACACACACACTTTGCCACAGGGTTTCTTACTCAGCTGAGGCCTCGAGAAGACCCTCAACTGCCTCTGAGCACAGTGAGGACCCCATAAGCAATTGTGGGGTGATGGGCCCTGTCCCTGCAGAGCAGCAGGATCTTGAACCGTGTTTGCAAAGGACCTCCCGTGTTGCAAATGTCCTTTTAGTTTCTAACACCTCCTCAGGGGTGCATGCCATCACTGGGGACTTGAGCTTGTTCATTGCGGTGTCCTAAGTCAGCCTTCTCAGGGGGAAAGTCAAATGACCCGAGGTTGCACTTGTTTTCCCGACCAGGGGTGGCAGTCAGTCTGCACAACTTACCAGGGCAGGGGGCGGTCCTGGGAAAGCCTGGAGATGGGCTGTCACTCTAAGGAAAGCAGAGCAGGGCTTGTGCCTGGTAAGAAAGGGACAGGCCAGCTGGAGGGGGTCCTGACAGGACTCTGCCCCGGCTCCCTCTACTGATCCCTTGTGCCATGTTGCCCCTTACTGCTTGCAGCCGACAGGGAACACGGTTCCAGGCAGCCGGCCAGCCCAGCCGCTGGTCTACATGCAGCGTCTGGAGCTCATCAGGAATGTCTGCAGGGACGAAGCCCTGAGGAACCTCTCGCACACTGCTGTCTCCAAGTTTGTCCTGGACCGCATATTTGTCTGTGACAAGCACAAGATTCTCTTCTGCCAGACCCCCAAAGTGGGAAACACCCAGTGGAAGAAAGTGCTGATCGTCCTGAATGGTGCGTGCTAGCAGTGCCCAGTGCACATCCGTCTGAGACCCTGAGGGTGTGCCCAGAAAGCTCGCAGTGGCCCAGGCAGGGGAGAGGAGGGTGGTCAGAGGAGGAGGTGCACGCATACACACGTGTCCACTGTTTCTCAAGCCACGAGTTCTGGAATTTGAACCACGCTGTTGGACATGCGGGATCCAGCCGTCTCAATGACCGACTGGCTCCAGCCTGGTAAATTGTACACCTCACTCTTCAGGTTGGGCTTTTCTTGTGCCTCACTTGTGCCTTTCTCAGTCTCTATGTTCAGAGTTTTGTCTGCTTGCTTTAAAAAGCTGATGTTTACTCAGAAACACATGAGATTATTGAAAAGTGACCTCATACCCTGTAGTTTCGATTACTTCCAGTTTGTCTGGACTGACCGTGATAATTAGGGGCTCTGTTTACTAAATTCCACTTCAGAAGGAGCATAATTCCGGTCTCTGCTAGTGGGCTCCTAGCTGAGGGGTCCGACCCTGGGCCCTGAGGGAGTGGTCTCGGGTTCTACGTCCTCCTCCACTCCCAGTGCTGCCTGAGGTGGTGGTCAGTGCTGGCCACTGTGGCCTTGTCATGGGTTAGGCAGGGGAGGAATGGGACACACTTCAGCTCCTGGTCATCAGCTGTGAAGCTGGTGGATTTCTGGAGTAATCTGGCAAGATTTTGTAAACTGGAGGATAAGGTTACAAGTCATAAAAAAAAAAAAAAAAAAAAACAAGGAATATACAGAAAGGCTACCAGATTGGCCC